AGTTGGTTGAGTGTCTAACTCTTGGTTTTGGCTCAGGTCAGGATCTCACAGTTCATGGGTTTGGGCCCCTGCATCAGGTTCTGCACTCACAGTGTGGAGCCTGCTTGAGATTCTCTCTCTCTCCCTCTCTCTCTGCCCTCCCCTGCTCAAACACACTCCCTCTGGCTCTCTAAATAAATGAATAAATGAATGAATGAATGAATGAATGAATGAATGAATAAATCTTTTTTTAAAAATTCTAAAGAAAAAGGTCTTTGCAAGGCCAACAGTTTATAAAAAATAAAGTTTATAAAAAATAAAGTTTAAATTTCAGATTGGACTTGTTATCGTAAAATGGCTACAACAATCACATTTCGTTTTTCTAAAAGGCCTAAAATAAAACTGTAGTAAAAGCACTGCCATGCCAGTGTGAGCACCCCTGTGCCTCACACCAAAAATATGTCAAATTAGAATTTCCTACTGCCACACTTATTAACCATATACAAGGGAATGGCACTCAACCAAAATCTAATGTTGCTGAAAAATGAAGAGAAGGGAGTAACCCTTAACGCGTTTTGAACTAAAGGAGGGAAAATATAACAGCCTCTCTTACACCTCAACTTCCCCACTCCAGTGCCCTTAGGCAGAGGTTTATCTCATGTGCCAAAAATTAACTGTGAGCACTCTCTAAAGTTACATAAAATCTCAGGGCGCCTGGGTGGCTCAGTCTGTTGAGCGTCCAATTCTTGGTTTTGACTCAGGTCAAGATCTCACAGTTCGTGGGTTGGAGCCCTGCATCAGGCTCCACACTGACACCATGGAGCCTGCTTGGGATTCCCTCTCCCTCTCTCTCTGCCCCTCCCCCACTTGTGCTTGCACTCACTTTCTCTCTCTCTCAGAATAAGTAAATAAACTTTAAAATTAAATAAATAGGAGCGCCTGGGTGGCTCAGTCAGTTAGGCGTCTGACTCTTGATCTCAGCTCAGGTCATGATCTCAAGGTGTGTGAGTTCAAGCCCCACATCAGGCTCTGCGCTGATGGCACGGAGCCTGCTTCAGATTCTACCTCTCTTCTCTCTGCCCCTCACCTGTTTGTGCTCTAAATAAATAAATAAATAAATAAATAAATAAATAAATAAATAAAGTTACATAAAAATCTCAAAACACAAACATCATTTTTTAATCTCTGAAAAGTGAAAGTGGCAGGTAATAATACATCAAGACATCTGTTTGTATGTCTAAACTGGAGTAATGAGAAAAATTGGTCTAATTATCTGTGCTTAAAATATGACTCAGAAATAAAATGAAGTGTCAATTTGTGTGAAAATAAAATATAACTATTTTTTTCTTCTTTTAAAAGAAAATCAGGGAACATCTAAGTAGCTGTGGGTAGCCAGTCTCAAGGGTCCCCCAGCTACGGTCAGACCAAAGCTAGGATTCAGTGCAACTTGAGGATGCCTGTAAAAAGAATAACAATGTTTTATGTATGTGTTTCTAGGCATTCTTCTGGGAATAAAGATCATCGTTTTATTTGGCTTTTCAAAGGGTCTGGAACCCCTAAAATGGTTTAGGACTCCTTTTTAAAGAACAGAGATCTTGGAACCAAGAAGCTATTAAAATTTAGGATAACCTCAACCTTCCTTCACTTAACAAATACTAATTCTGGTCTCCAGGAGAGATCAAGGCTCCCTTAACCAATCAGGGTAAGAATAACATGCGTTTCTTGGTCACAGAGCTAGAACTCTCCAGTGCTAGGGCAAAGGGTTTCCAATGTCAAGGGGTGCTTGAATTGTGCCCCCTCCAGGGGTGCTCCCTCCCTGGAGTTTCTCTTCTCCCTCAAGGCTGCTATTATGAGGGGGCTTGCAAGAGCTAAGACTGTGCCTAAAGACCTACAGGGAACCCAGAACGAGGCCTAGTTGAATGGCTAGAGCAATGCTACTCAGAGTGTGGACCATGGGTAGGCAGCAGCAGCATCACCCAGGAACTTATCAGAAATTTGGATTCTCAGGCCCCAGCTCTGTTGAACTACAGTTTCTGGATAGGGTTCAGGAATCTGCATCTTAACAAGCCCTCTAGGAGATCTCAGTGCCATGTGCAGTTTGAAAAGCCCTGGCCTAAGGGGATGCCTGGCTGGCTCAGTCAGAAGAACACCTGACTCTTGATCTGGGGTTGTGAGTTTGATCCCCACGCCGGATGTAGAGATTACTTAAATAAATACTTAAAAAAAAGAAAAGCAAAGCAAAGCTCTGGCCTAAACCTCTCCCCTCCCCTTTAGAGCTGAGTGTCCCAGTCAGTGCCATGGCTTTCTAACCTTCCACTGTGAACTGTGCCCCCACCAGGTCTCTGACCTTACCCTCCTCAGCTAGGGTCACCTAGGGCCCCCTCTGCTTACCCAATCTCCTAGCTGTCAGTTCCCTCCTTGAAACTTTCTTTTCTGAGCTTCTGTGACAAACAGCGCATTGGCATTCCTCTGTCCCTTAGCTGCTTCTACTGCCCCTCTCCTCACTGTGCACTCGGGCCCATAAGCCAGTGAGTCACTGTCCGCGTGCCAGTGACTCCCAGATGACATCCCCAGCTCTGGCAGCTCTTCTGGGCCCTAGATCTGAATATCAATGTCCTGCTTACACATCTCACTTGTACCCAACCAGACTCATTAGTCTTTCCCCTTAACCTAGCCTTTATGCCTGCCTGGGTCACTAAAAATCACCTTGCTAGTACTGTGATACGCTGCCCAGGCTGCCAAGTCACCAACCCCGGGCACCTGAAAAGCTAAATCACCATATCAAACAAGGTAGAGCTGGCTCTAAATAGGCCTACAAGAATATGGAGAGCCTGAGAATATGGGCAGAAGTAGAATCCAGCATAACGGTTATACATGGAGCTTACTGCCTCTGCCAGGAGTTGGCAAACTTATTCTGTAAAAACCCAAATAGTATCTTAGGCTGTGTGGGCCACAGAAGCTCTTCAGCACAAACCCTTTGCTTAGGGTGCTTTATGAATTTAACCACTTATGAAAACAAACATTTCTTAAGAGGAAAAAAAGAAAGGCCAAAAGTTAGCCTCTTTCCTATCACAACAAACTCCCAAAGCTGCCTAAGTCTGTTGTCTGCATTTCCTTTGTAACCTCAACGAAGTTCTCATCAATGGGCCAACCCGAGTACGTGAAAATGAATAATAGTTGTTAAATTGCACTCAGCAAAAAAAACCCAATGCTTTTATCCATTAGCAGAAAAATGCCCCTCTCTTCCAGGAGAAGCTCAAAGGCAGTTAGAGCTGGGATGAAATTGTGGTCCCATCACTCTGACAATGTATTTTACCATTTCCCACCAGTTTCCTCAATTACAGAACAAGTGAACAAACAGTGCCCATACCTCATGAGTTTTTGAAGGAACTTTAAATGAGAAAATCCATGCAAACTGCTTAGTGCAATGCCTGGCACACTGTCAGCCCTCAACTATGTTAGTCATTATTATTGTTAAAACAAAGAGTAAAGTTTCTTCATAAAATCACAAAGATTAGACTTAAATATCTTACTTGTAAGTGATATTAAATCCAGTCAAATTATAAGCAGCATCACTAAAAAAATGCAGCAGGGCATAACCTGATGTGGCAACAACCTCGGGGACAGTCTCATTGCCGTCTCTCTCAGGAACGATGAGGCCACTGAAATGGAAACACATTTCTTATAAAGGGAAGCGTACTCAACAGCCATGTCACATGGCGGCATACAAATTCAAAACTGGAATTCATCCTTATAATTAAAAACAAACAAACAAAAAAACACTTCCAGGAAAAGGGGCAAATTCCTGTGATAAATGCATAGTGCCAGCCTGTTAGTTCTGGATCCAGTTCTGAATCCTCAGCGGGACAGATCTGAATCTTTCCTAGGCTTGCCTTTATCCTGGGTTATATTTCTAATGAGATTTGAAATCAATCACCCTATTCTTTTTTTATGTATACAAAACTGTTTGTAATGGTTCTTTGAAAGACTGAGTAAACCTTCAAAATTACAGAAACTAACAAACTTTATGAGTTGATGAATGCCAAATATATACTACTGAAAATTATGAATAATAAAAATATAAATAAATTGGCTAAACACCCACAATCTTAACTCTATTAGTATTCTGATGTACTTTTTTTTTTCCTGATACCATTATCACAGCCTATATTCTATTTTACAAGTAATACTCCAGAAGCATTTCCTCTCTCATTTGGATTCCAGCACACAATAGTATTTGCTGGGTGTCTGGAGAGTGTTAAAAACTATCAAATCAAAGGGTCTAAATGATGGCTTTAAGGCTCTTGATCCATATGCTTTCCAGAAGCCATATACCAATCTGAAATCTCATCAATAAAGAATAAAAAGGAGGGCGCCTGGGTGGCGCAGTGGGTTAAGCGTCCGACTTCAGCCAGGTCACGATCTCGCGGTCTGTGAGTTCGAGCCCCGCGTCGGGCTCTGGGCTGATGGCTCAGAGCCTGGAGCCTGTTTCCGATTCTGTGTCTCCCTCTCTCTCTGCCCCTCCCCCGTTCATGCTCTGTCTCTCTCTGTCCCAAAAATAAATAAAAAATGTTGGAAAAAAAAATTAAAAAAAAAAAAAAAAAAGAATAAAAAGGTCCATCCTACCTCACCTGCCAAGAAGAAGTACCAGTCCTATATTAGCCTTGCTAACCTGGTAAGTGAAAAGTGATTTTTTTATATTGTGGTTTTGAGTTTCTTTTATATTCCTGAGGTTAATCATTCTTCCTGTGTTTACTTGCCTTTTGCATTTCTTCATATGCTCACATCTTTTGCCCAATAACCAACTCACTATCACCACCACAACCACCACCAACACCTCATTCAGTGAAAACCTTAATCCTTACCAGGCCCTATGCAATCTGCTTCACACACACAACCCCACACAATGAACAAACATCTCATTACTACTCTCTTCCCTTCAGTCACTCAACCCCAGCTGCACTAGCCTCCTTGCTTTCCCAAAGCACATACCATGTAAACTACTCCCTCAAGGGCCTATGACAATCTTAAATGGTCATTCACTGTGACCTAGCAATTCTAAGTTCTTTGTAGAACTAACACTTGCTCGTGTACACAAAGACTAATATACAACCACCCTCACTGCAGCACTATTCAGAATGGCAATGCATTGGAAACAACCTAGGGGGTGCCTGGCTGGCTCGGTCAATACAGCATGTGACTCCTGATCTCAGGGTCATGAGTTCAAGCCCTACGTGGAGTATAGTGATGACCTAAATAAAAAAAAAAAAATTTTTTTTTAAATTTTTTTTAACATTTATTCATTTTTGAGAGTGAGAGAGACAGAGCATGAGCAGGAGAAGGGCAGAGAGATGGGGAGACACAGAATCAGAAGCAGGCTCCGGGCTCTGAGCGGTCAGCCCAGAGCCCGGTGCAGGGCTGGAACTCACGGACTGCAAGATCATGACCTGAGCCGAAGTTGGGACGCTCAACCAACTGAGCCACCCAGGCACCCCCCCAAGAAATTTTTTTTAAAGAAGAAGAAAACCTCCTAAATGCTCATCTGCAGAGTGTTAGGTGCATCAATCATTCCATACCGGTAGTTCTGCAGAACTAACAAGGAACTCATCAAGGCATTCTGATAAGTAGGGAAAAAAACAAGATGCAAAACAATGGACCTAGTATATGTGTACATTTACACATATTTAGGTAAGTGCATATAAAAATAATGAAATGGAAGAATAGAGAAGCAGGAAATTAGGAAGAGGAGCCAGGATTTTCATTCAATAAGAATATCTAGACTGAATTCTACAAACTCTAGGACTGTGTAGGTACTCCAGGGTTTACAAAACAGTGAAGCATTCTGCATTGTGTATTCAACTCACAAATATTCACTGATACCGCATGTGAGACACTGTTCTAGGTACCAGAACACAACAGTGAAGAAGCCTCTGCTCTCATGGAGTTCACATTAGAGAAACAACAAATAAGGCCAGAAATATCCCCCACCCCCACATACAGGCGTGTATATGTAACACCAAGCAGAGATAAATGCTATAAAAAGAAAAAAACAGTGCAAGAACAAAGGCGCTGGGGCACCTGGGTGGCTCAGTCAGTTCAGTGTCCAATTCTTGATTTCAGCTCAAGTCATGATCCCAGGGTCATGATTTCAAGGCCCACTCTGGGCATGGAGCCTCCTTAAGATTCTCTCTCTCTCTCCCTCTGCCCCTCCTGTTCTCTCTTAAAAAAAAAAAGGTGGGGGGGGCACCTGGGTGGCTCAGCTGGTTAAGCGTCCAACTCTTGGTTTCGGCTCAGGTCATGATCTCATGACTCGTGAGTTCGAGCCCCACATTGGGCTCTGTGCTGGCAGTGTGGAGCCTGCTTGGGATTTTCTATTTCCCTCTCTCTATGCCCCTTCCCTGCTCACGCATGCATGCACAGGCGCGCGCTCTCTCTCTCTCTGTCAAGATAAAGAAATAAACTTAAAAGGGGAGGGGGGGGCACCTGGGTCATTTAAGCATCCGGCTTCAGTTCAGGTCATGAAATCATGGTTCATGAGTTCAAGCCCTGCATCAGGCTCTGTGCTGACAGCTCAGAGCCTGGAGCCTGTTTCAGATTCTGTGTCTCCCTCTCTCTGTTTCTCTCTCTCTCTCAAAAATAAAGATTCTGAAAAAAAGGTGCTACTTTAGAAAGGGCAGTTAGGGAAGGCATCTTGGAAAAGGTGACATTTGCTTGCATCAGTTTTATGTACCAGAATCCCTTGAAATGCTAAGTGGGGAAGTACTTACAAGAGGGCGATGTAGAAACAGATATGCTGAAAGCAATCTTCCCATAAGAAATACTGGCCCAGGATGACTCGGGGCTTCAGTCACATGTGGAAAACCCAGCACTCTTATCCTAGCATGAGCTTTAGGACCAGAGGGAATGCCAATTCTCACTCCACATCACTGGGCATGTCATAGACATCTGGGAACCTCAGTGTCCTAAATGCATGTGGAGAGAAATCCTATCCACCCCCCAGTGATAAAATAAAAGCAAACTATTACAGCACGTGAAGTGCTTAAACATTGATTGCCTCACATCAGTAGGTATTCAGTAAATGATGGCTAACGATATCTATTATTTATATGGTGGGGACATTTAAGTGCGCAGGACAAACGGTAGAAAGGATGGAGGGAGAAAGAACAGAGTCACAGAAGGGGTGCGAGGGCCACCTATGTTAGATGACCATGATGCTGGAGAAAGGGGGTCAGCTTCCCCACTGTCAGAGAGACTCGGGCATTTGCTTCTTTATATTTGAAAACCTGACATTATGACAGCTTTAGAATGTGCTACTTTCTCCCAGTGTGAAAATAAAACAACTGGTTTATGACAAAAATAAACTTTTACAGGGTAAATGAATACAAATGCAGCCTCAACCCAGCATGCAAAGCAATGGAAAGTGCGTGGGTGAGAAAGTGATGCTGCAGGCATGCCATTCAACTGTCACCCCGAGCTGCTTCCCACCCCCCCCCCACCTCCTGCCCCCAGGTAGATAAATACACATAAGCACAGCTTAGGTTGCAGCCAGTTTTTCAACTTGAGCAAATCAAGAACTGCCTGCCCTGGGGTTCTATATAACCTTTATTTTAAACACAGAGTACCACTGTTCAGAACCATTTTTGAAAATCGCTATTCAAAGATATTCATTATCTCGGTGCCAGGCAGACATGGGCTCTGTGAACACACCTGGGGCACACCCTGACTTCACCAACTACACTACCCAAGTTTACTAGCAGTCCTAGGTCTCCCTGCAAGACCAGACGCTCTTCAAAGGCTGGGAGATTGGAAGGTAAGCCAGATTTTTAAAGTCAGGGGTCAGAGCCCGGTGGTGGGCCGAGGCAGAGTCTGTACTTCTGCCTGGTAAAGGAAGGTCCGAGACCCTGAGAGGTGCCTGCCTTTGACTACTCTCTGTGCCATGGTCTGACGACGCCATCACATGGCTCCTCTAACAGCCCTTCATCACAGTCTAAACAACTGCCTTATCAATGTCACTCCCCCACCAAAAAGAAATAACACACACACAAAAAAAACTTTAAAAGGAATAATGTTCTGTTGAAGGATGTTCTCAGAAAGGAAAACTACTCTCCCTGTTCCATCACCACTACCACCTCTGCATCTCCTACCAACAGATCCCAGCAGAAGAGCTGCTCCACAAAGGTGCTACGTTTATACATTTGTTGAACTGAACACACCACAAAATCAAGATGTGGTACAGCTGCAAGAGTCTTGGTCCAGCGGTTCTCAGATTTGTCTGCTAATGGAACTCTGATAACCAAATTTTGTTCTGATAAACAAATTTTATTCAGAAATTCCATATGTAAAAGATAAATGTGATCAACCAGCTCAGAATCAAATTAAACTTTGTAGTTTGCAACATACTCAGAGAAAACACGGTACGACGCCAGCACTTTGGGCAGAAGCCGAGTACAAGAGCACTTAAATGACCTGTTCAGGTTCATACAGAGACTGGGGCAGAACTGGGATAAACAGTCCCCAGTTTCTGAATCCCATGTGGTTCTTTTCTTATTAGCTGGGCTGTCTGCCAGCAGGCTCTCAACACTCTGGGATGCCTGCACATCACCACTGGTTTGATTCCCCTCTCGAGAACTCTCCTGGCCCAGCAGCACCCCTCAGCCTCCACCTTGTGACAGAACCCTCATGGCTTCAACAGTTGTTTTCAAGGTGTTCTGCACATCGGTGCTTTTAGGAGTTTTGTGTTTCAGGTAAATTTTGATTTTTAAACACACATTTTTTTCACTAACATCTTAGAGAATTCACACTATGTTGTCAGTTTAAATTTTAAAATAACCAATGGATAAATGTATATTATCAATTAACCAGCTTTTTTAGAGAAACATAAAAATCCTTCTATTAATCTGTGCATATACTTTGGCTTCTCTCAGAAGTCACCGACTTAGGGATGCCCAGCTGGCTCAGTCGGTTGAGCCTCTGACTGGGTTTCGGCTTAGGTCATGACCCCAGGGTCATGAGATCGAGCCCTGTGTTGAGCTCTATGCTAAGCATGGAGCCTGCTTAAGATTCTCTCTCCCTCTCTCTCTCTCTCCCCCCACCCCCCGCTCATGCTCCCTCTCTCAAATTAAATAAATAAAAAATAAATAATAATTTAAAAAGAAGTCACTGACTAGAAAAATTACAGCCTCCTGCTTGTTTTGTTGCTGCTGCTGCTTCACGTGTCGGCTCACCAGACACACAATCCAGGTGAGCCACAGGGTTATGCACACCTGCTTGGCTGATGCTCCCCCAAGGGCTACTGGCAAGCTGATGCACAGTGCCTGGCACATAATAGGGACTCCATGAATTCTGACTCATGAACTCAGTGTCAAGTGAACCCCCAAGTACTATCATGATAACAGCATAACAGAGACAGTTTCCTTACTTGTGTTGAAGTTTGGGGTGCCTTGCTATAACCTAAGGTACGCTTCAAACTCTGGCATAAAGATAAGTGCACCCAATGCTTCGACAATGACATTTTACTGCTTAGCATGGTCTATACTGTGCTCTTTGGCTCCAGAGTGGACCTTTGAAACCCAGAAAATAACCTCAGTGCTCAGTTCAAAGACATGCTGGGGAGAATTCTAAGCCCAACGGAATGGAGAAATACAAGGGCACATTAGTCCCCTGATCTCCTGAGCTCTCTGGCTTCTTGTGTACTCTTTACTCTCTGTTACCTCCTCGCTGACAGGAAACATCAACTACACAAGCCCCATGTGAGGAATACAAAAAATATTTGTCGAACTGATTTCTTTTTAAAGTCAGAGAAAGAAATCCAGAAAGTCAGCTGCAGATGAAAAACTGACAGCTATGGCTCTCTAAGGGGATGTGCAGTTTTGAAAAATATAGTTCATAAATCGTCTATTGAGTAAAAGGAAGAAAAATAGAACGGTTTTGAATTCCCATGCAGTCAAAAATATAATAAACAACACAGCTACTTATTGTTAATAAAAAATAAAATGCCAAAACAATTCAGAATACCCCATGTATTTAGTGTTAAGTGTTTCCTAATAAGGAATATACTTGTTTAAAAAATCACAACACAAAATTGGTATTTTCCTCATTTTCCACAGGTAACTGCTGTTCATTTTCTGTGTATTTTTCCAAAAAGCTTCCTTCACCCATATTAATGCATATACATAAATACACACACACACACACACACACACACACACACACACACACACACAAACTATATCTGGATTCAACAGATAACTCCTGAAGGCCTATGCAATGAGGAACACAAGGGTCAAGGTGAATGTGGGTCCTGATTTAAATTTTTCACAAAAACAATATCCAATATATTACTCACAAAACATTTTTTAAATGTAAACTTCACCACCACCACAAGAATTAAGTAAACTTGATAGTACTACCACAATTTTATACATCAGGAAACCGAAATGAGAGGTCCAGTACTCTGCCCAGAAACTTACCTAGTATCTACAGGAAACCAAGTCAGGCCTAGCGCACAAGTGACAGAGGACTCCAGAACTAGCACTCTCGCCATGAAATAAAGGTGGTAAGTAAGTGATAATAAAAGTGATGAGCAATAAAAGTTTGCAATCTAGGAGATAAGTTTGAATTCAGAAATCAGATAATGATTAACTAGTACTTATATGACAGAGCTTACCTAAAGGCAGCAACTAGTGGTGCGTAAATTGAGTCTCCATCATAAACGTATAAATGATCCCAACTACACTCTGTAGCAAAATGATTAAAACGAAGTCTCATTATTCTATTTGGCCTGAAAAGAACAAAAAAGAGTAATTTATAATAATCAGCATAACTACCAGACATTTGAGAAGAAAATAGACATAGATTTTTAAAGATAAATTTACACGGAGAGAAGAAATTAATAGTATATAACCAACATTCCTTTATCTGTCAAAGATTTACTTTTCTTTGTACTTACTATGTGTGAGACCACTAATCATGCAACGGTAAACAAGGCGGACAGGTCTATGCTTCTTCAGGCCCTACAGCCCATACAGTGGCTGTTCTTTAACAGCCTGTGAACCAACCAGTTAGCTGTTTCATTTCTGCACTTCATTTCCTATTCAGCTTAAGATTTCACACTACATCATTTCACACACACAACTGCCAATTCTCTAAACTTGCCTACCCTTCTGCCTTTTCATGGAGCTACCTGGCAAAGCCCCGGTCTAGAGGAAACCAGTGATCTCCTTTGATTCAAATTAAATGCAAAGAAAACTAAGCTGTGCTGGAGGTAGTCACAACACTGGATAGGCTGGTTCCAGGACTGGTCACAGCTCACCAACTTCAAATTGGCACTTTACTTCTGGCAGCAGTCAGTCCTACTACTAATTCTCTCTCTCCTTCCCCACAATTGCTACTAACTCCCAATTACTATTTCAAACCACTCAGTCTCACCTCCTTGCTTAAGCTCAGCACTCAAAAATCTCTCAACTCCCCATTTTCCAAAACAGATACACCTGTCTATTCCTCCTTCCATCTCTTAAACATTTCACATCTCCCTCTCATCTGGAACTTCCCACATCCATATTTAAATGTCCTTAAGTCTCACACATTTTACCAAAAAAACAACAAAACATAAAAACTTCAAATTTCAACTCTCCTTCTAGCCATTACCCAACCTACCCCTCCTCTCTCCTCTGAAGAGAGTGAACCTCCACACAAGACTTTGCTTTCTGTTTCCTCACATCCTACTCACCCACTTTGTTCTCAAACCTGGCTTCCACCCAAACACTCCACTCAAAAAGCTCTTGGTAAAATCAGCACCATTTATACCCTGGTGATGTCTAATTATATGTCTCCAGTCTAGGCCTTCCCTCTACCCCACACGTGTCTACCTAACATCTCTAAGCAAACAATTAAGTACATAAGCAAGTTAACTCAGCTGATGATAACTACCATGAAGAAATGAAAGGAATGTGATGTGTCCAACAGGTGGCAGGGAGTTATCCCAGAAAGCTTCGGAAAAGATGAGAATGACAAGAGATAAGCCATGTGAAAAAAGCTGGGGAACAATGTTTCAGGCAGAGGGAAGAGCACAGTCTTAAAGTCTTAGTGAGAAAGGGACTGATGTGTCTAGGCAACGTGAAGAAAATCAGCGTGTCTGAAACAGAGCAAACAGAGGAAACCACAGGAGACAAGAAGCGAGAGGAGGGCAAGGGGCAACAGCAAAAACCGGGAGGCCAATTTCAAGGCTATCACCGTGGCCCAGAAAACAGAATGGCTGGGGTCTTACAACAACTGTAGAGACGAAGGTGAAAGGGAGATCGTAAATGGATTGGGAAGACACTCTAGAGGGAGAACAGACAGAACTTACTGGCAGGCTTAATATGGAGATAAGAAAGGAAGGAGTTAAACTTTTTTGCTTAGGCTCGGGAGGAACCACCACCAAGGGCACACTGGGAGGGATGCTGGAGAAAGACGTCAGATAGAAACAAACTGACAGAAAGGGCAAGAGCAAACAACTCCTTAAAGCAGCCATTCTCAAAGTGGGGTCCTCACAATGCCAGAGGCCTTGGGACCCGTTGGCATTTGCTGATGGTGCAAGAGCAGTGGTGGGTGAAACTGCTGGTACCTGAGAACAGAGCAGGGCAGAGGCACCAAACCGTACCAGTAATCGCTGTTACTCTTTAATACTACACGTTCACAAGGAAAAAGGAGTTTCATTTAAGAGTATCTTTATTAAGCGGTAAAAACTGCTAATTTTATTAAACTGTGGCCCACGAATACACATCTTTTGAATATTCTGCCTGACAGGCTGGGAAGTGTGCATAAAGCACTTCTGCTGTCTAACAAAGTACTGCGGGCTCCAGGAAAATCGCTTTTGCAATTGTTTGAGTGCTGAGCTGAACCTATCGCTTTTTTCTCGAACACTACTTATCATTTTTACTTGAAAGGACAACTGACAAACTATGGTTACTCAGACTTGGATATCTGGTAGATACTTCCTTAAAAATGAACAAAGCAGGTCTGTCACTTCAAAGAAAACAACTGGCAGTATTTGTTGCCAAAGAGAAAATACAGGCTTTCAAAGCAATAATTAGTTTTGGAAAATCTGTCTCTGCCACCCAGATAAAACTTCCCAATGCTTAAAATTTTCTGATGAGATTAAATGGTGACATTAACCGGGGCGTCTGGGTGGCTCAGTCGGTTAAGCATCCGACTTCAGCTCAGGTCACGATCTCACGGTCCGTGAGTTCGAGCCCCGCGTCGGGCTCTGGGCTGACAGCTCGGAGCCTGGAGCCTGCTTCGGATTCTGTGTCTCCCTCTGTCTCTCTGCCCCTCCCCTGTTCATGCTCTGTCTCTCTCTGTCTCAAAAATAAATAAACGTTAAAAAAAAAAAAATTTAAAAAAATGGTGACATTAACCAGTGTGATTTTTTTCATATTGTATCATGAATTGTATCAAAATTAGGAAGATCTGAATAGTTCAGGGAACCATTATTTTCTAAACAACCCATATAACCTGTTACAAAACCATGCAAGGCTTAAAGAGCCATTCAAAAGTATAAGAAAACTCAAAAGATTTTAATTTAAATTCCAAAAGTTCATTAATAATGTTTTAGATTCCACACTGCAATTTACGTTTAAGAAATTAGCACTTGTCGGGGCGCCTGGGTGGCGCAGTCGGTTAAGCGTCCGACTTCAGCCAGGTCACGATCTCGCGGTCCGTGAGTTCGAGCCCCGCGTCGGGCTCTGGGCGGATGGCTCAGAGCCTGGAGCCTGTTTCCGATTCTGTGTCTCCCTCTCTCTCTGCCCCTCCCCTGTTCATGCTCTGTCTCTCTCTGTCCCCCAAAAAATAAATAAACGTTGAAAAAAAAAAAGAAATTAGCACTTGTCAAACTTTGATGCAGTGTCAAAGAAGACCATCCAAAATTATTTAAAAATGTTATTCAGATATCCTTCCTTTTCCTACTACACATTCAAGTAAAGCCTAATTTTCTTCACATGCTTCAACCACAATAACATATTCTAACAAACTGAATGCAGAAGAAAATATGATAATCCACCTATCTTCTACTGAGCCAGACAGAGAAGTTATTTTACAAAAATGTAACACGATACCATTCTTCTCACTGATGTTTTTTTAAATATAGGGTTTGCTTTTTCATAAAAATATGCCATTTTGTGCTAACACGTAGTAGGTTTATTATTGCTTTTAAATGAGTTAAGGAATTTCCTTAGTTTTTATATATAATATAATATAATAAACACAGATATAACCCACACAAACAAGAGTTATTTGAAATTTTCAAAATTTAAGAGTGTAAAGGGGTCCTGAGACCAAAAAGTTTGAGAAACACTGCTTTAAAGATGTGCCATGAAGACAAGAAGGCAAGAGCTGGAGGGGCACAGGAGGCCCAGAGAAGAAGCTATTTTTATTTTCCTGCCCACAATAAAAATAAGTACTTAGAAAAATGATATAATATTATAATTTTCTAATGGTATAAATCATTTAAAATATTCAACAGTTCTAAGTATGATAACTGAAAATATACAAACTTCTGGTGTGTACAATTCATTCACAGCTTTAAATCAACACAAAACAAAAACTGAAAACAAAAATTGTTTTCAAATTCACAATGAAGGTTAATAAAATCATATTCACTTGTCAAATGAAAAGTTATCAAATAAAAAATATTTTAAGTACTCTATGCTACAGGTTGTTAATTTTACTTGTAAAAAAAGTAACGCCACACTGAGCTCTAAAAAAAAAAAAAAAATTTAAACCAGCCATTACTACTTACTGTCCTTCAATGAGCCATGTACATTTTGTTTTATATTTATAATTTCCAGGTCCATCTGTTACAAACCCAGAAGATCCAGTTAGTCTGTAATGCAAAAAACAAACAAACAAACAGAAAACAAAAAACAAAAATGTAAGTCCATCCAAGTTGCACATACTAATCTTTCTTAATTCTCAAATAATGCAAGTTAAGCAGAGTAAGTACATTAATGCACACTATAACCAGAAGAAAATGACTGGGTAGTTATAGTCAGATTATACTAATATAGATGAAAAAAATAATTTCCATAAACTTAAGAAAGGGGGGTACAAATACATTAAAACCAACAGAAATTGAAAAAAAAAAGCGTATCTAAATCTTTCTAGCTGAGATAGGAAAATCATACTTTGAAAATGGCTACCATGAAAATGGCTACAAGAACTTACTTATATATATGAGCTGGTTTTTAAAAAGATCACACAGTTATAGTTACGACTAAAGGGTATTTAATACAATAACACTGTGGAAAGCAGAATTGTGACAGGCAAGCACATCAAGCCACAATACACAACGGACCCATCACAGCCATTTGGCTGCCACTTCTGAAGGCAATCCACCACGTCCCACGAGCAGTGACCATCAGCACCTGTCTTCCCACACTCGTGCCAAGTCTGAAGTTTAATATTTTTAGGTCTTGACTATATGATAGGCATATACTGATATCTCATTAATGTTTTGGCTGGTACATACCTTGATGCTTAAGTGTCTTCTCATATGTTTTGGTCATTTGTATTTCCTCCTCTCTGAATTAAAATTCCATATTCTTTGCCCACTTTGCTACCAAGTTGTCTTTTTCAAATTAATGTTTAGGAGCTCTTTTTATATTAAAGAGCTCCCATCTGCATGTAAAATGTACTATAAATACATTTTCTCAGTTTACTTTTTTCTTTATATTTTGTGTCTGGTATCTTTTCCTATATAGAACTTTCAAAATTTAAGAAGGATGCTATTTCCTTCCACACTGCTGTTTCCAGATCATCTTTTGTCCGTCTTCCATCACCAATGTCAGCCTGTCTGAAACAGATGCTCTCCTCTGGGTCTGCCTCCCTTACTTTCCGACTTATCTACTGACATCCCAGTTATTCCTTCTTGCCCACTGATATTAGCATCTAGTTCATTCAACTACATCAACATATAAGATGTTCTAATCAGAACCCAGTTTTTCCATTTCTTAACTTCACCATTAACAGTCTTTTTTTCCACCCATATTAGTCACCCACTCCTCTGGGTCCTGCCATTTCCTGTAATAGCATGAGCACCAAAATCTGCATTTTAGGCATCCTACATTCTGGCCACCATATCTTCTCTCTCAAGTTCATTTAGCCTAGTTCTCCCTTTCCAGTGAGTCATCATCCCCATGGGGACCTCCAATCCACTGAACTATCACTTCTTCATGCTCATCACCCACCACACACACATTCGACTTCCCCACTTAGTTAAGATTCCATGGTCCATCACAATTATCATCACCTTCAAATCCTTCTTGGACTTTTGCCCTTCTCTCCCTCTGCTGTACTCACCTGGATACTGGTATCTCCATGTCTTACTCCCAACATCCATTCGAACCCAAAAAGATTAGTCTGAGCCACTCATGGTTTCCTATGCCCCCTGACAATAACTGATTAGAAACCTAACACAACTGACAGAAAAACAGAAATAGTAATGGCTTAACCAAGATAATAAAGTCCAAAGGTAAGAAATACAGAGAACACAAAAGGATTTCCATAATCATGAGGGACCTAATGTTCTTCTATCTAGTTGCTTTGTCATCCTCAACATGTGGCTTCCACCTCATAATCCAAGATGGCTGCTCAAACTCCAGCTTTTATTCCCACATTCTACCCAGCAGGAAGGAGGAAAACAAAGTGCACATTCTCTCCTTCTAAGTCAAACAAGACAATTCAACTTATATCCCATCAGCCAAAACTTAGTGACATATCTAAATGTAGAGGGAGGCTGAGAAATGTAGCCACTATTCCAAATGACCATGTATTCAGTGAAAAATCAGGATTCCCTTCATTAGAGAAGTGGAGAAAGGAGACGAAGGGTCATTACTAGTTTCTGTCACAGCACATAATCAAATACTTAAATGTCAGGGGAAGTCTTGATGGAGGCCTTCCAGGAAGTATTTTCTCATTAACAAAGACAGTGTGATAGACAGGGAGATTTGCCACATAATCTCCCTTCTGAGGAAGGACTAACAGCCTGGTCAACAGTTTTTACGGCTCTTACAGTTCCTTCAGGAGCTGCCTTGCCCCAGGTCACACCCTGCCCAGGGTGGTCCATACCACAAAGGGTGGAAAGTCTGGAGCAATCCAACAAAAAACAACTCTGACAGTCCTTGCTTCTGAGCTCCCCTTTGTCAGGCCTACACTAAAGTTCAACTTCTTCCTTTGCCCAATTCTGCTCTCTGCACCTTCCTCTCACACTGTTATAACCAATTTGTGCCCCAAACACAAATCTCAGTAATGCAGCCATTGTGCTACAAGGCTGAACAGGAAGCCAATACCAAAAGGATGACCAACCAAAGGAATGCAAAGGTCCATGAACGCAGTATCAGCCAACCACAGAGACCACTCCCAGTTTATGGGCAAATAAACTTCCCACTGGTTACTGGTTTATTGTATATGTATGTGTGGACATAGTTTAGGCCCTTCTAGCTCACAATGTTTTCTGGCTTTCTACTATGCTTGTTTTGCTCCTAAGGGTTGCTCTGGACTGCACATAGACATGCTCAGGTATTTGCAAATCAGCATCACTTTTAGAAAAGAAATAGGTCATTTTTATTTTAAATATCTACTCAGTATTTTTAAATCTAGCATTTACATAATTTTACAGACAATGCATAGTTATGATCACAGACAAGCTGTCAACTAAACGACGATTTACCTTTTGTAACTTTTCTCCCCAAGTATACCCCCACCCACACCACGTTAAGATAAACATTTAACCACCTAGTAAGCATTCTTAACTATTTTTCTTCATATTCATGAGCCCATGATATATGCACAGTTCTCTTAATTTTTGGCTACACATATTATACAAACTTTTCTGCATCTTCCTTTTCTAACCCAACAAAACTTTGTGAGAGTCTCTCCGACTAAACAGGTATTAGTCTAATTCACTTTTTGTGAAGCATATTCTAACCTATGGAGGTAGTGGTTTTTTCCTGCCTTTCTCCTACTAACACTCATTTTGTTTTCAGTCAGTTGGCATTATGCACATTGCTGCAATAAATATCCCTATACATATGGCCTTACTTGTGCTTTAATTTCTAAGAATAGAATCTTAGGAGGAGGATTACTGGGCCAAAGGAATATGAATTTTAATTGTTAAATAAGCTGCCAATTTTCAAAAGGCTGTAACAACTCACATTTGCATCAGCAATACGTGAGAATATGCTATTTTCCACATCCTCTCTGTATTCTTGTTACTTTTAAATTTTTAACTTGAGGGGCAGCTGGGCAGCTCAGTCCGTTAAGCACCCAACTCTTGATCTCGGCTCAGCTCATGATTTCATGGTTTGTGAATTCAAGCCCTGCGTCAGGCTCTACGCTGACAGCATGGAACCTGCTTAGGATTCTCTCTGCCTCTTCCTCGCTCGCGTGCACTCTCCCTCTCAAAATAAATAAATAAACATTTTTTAAAAAATAAATAAATAAATAGGGGTGCCTGGGTGGCTCACTCCGTTAAACATCTGACTTCAGCTCAGGTCATGATCTCAGAGTTTGTGAGTTCGAG